TTGTGCATTCTCCCCTTGAAATAATAACAGGGTTCATTGCTGTATGATTTGATCCATAACCGTTGCTGACTGTCTTCATAAAATCCAAACACTTCATTGGCCGGCAATCCATCCGCAACAGTAAAGTTTTTGAATTTCTGACCATCAAACCGGCTTAACCCTGTCTCTGTTGCAAACCACATAAAGCCCTGCGCATCCTGGGTAATGGTGTAAAGGGTTTCGCCTGCCAGTCCGTCCCGGGTCGTGTAATGAGCATAGTTATAGGCTTGGCCTGTTACCCGGCAACAGGTAATAAGACAGCCTGCTAAAATTAAAAGAGAACTCCTGCAATACTTCATTAAATCTCTTGAGTATTTCTTTGAAAACAGCCCAGCCGGAAAGAGGCAAGCAATGAAACGGAATCAGGTCCGGGTCAATTTACAACGGCGAAATATACATAGAATTGTAAAACGGCAAAGGACCGTTCCCGAATTCAGCACAACGATTAACCCGAGTAAGCCGCCGGACCATTAAAGAAGCCGGCGGGTTATGAGCTACCTGATCTTTACAATAGGGCCGGCAGCAGGGGGCTTCCTATATCGCCGGGCAATAAAGAAAAAGATAGCGTTCGGCAGAAAGGATTTTGTAGCGGGCCGCTACGTTTCCCGGCTGCACATTAAAAAAAGAAAGTGGCTGGTAGGCAATAATTGCTTGACCTTACAGGACTGGAAGAAGGCGTCGGTGAAAGGAAAACCGGCTTTTGTTCTTTTGAGCAGCCCTTTATCGGGCAATTTAAAAAAATGACTTTTTATAGAAAAGCGTGTTACACCTGCGACATCTGAATTTATAAATATCGATAAGTAGGTTTATTGCTTTTAACAGGCTGTTCCTTTTAGGACGCGAAATATTATTAGAGGTGCATTTTGGGCAGCGATGTGAAATGGGTGGCATAACAATTAAATTCTGATTCCTGTTTTTACAAATCGACCGGTGATTCAAACCCTGTTGTGCAAACATACCCTGGAGGAGTAGGATGGATAGGGTAAAC